GGCCTCCATCCGCATGACGTAGCAGTTTGACGTTGAGTAGGCGTCGTCCTGGCCGAAGGATTCCCGAAAGATAGTCCGTGCCCTGGACGGGACTTGACGAGGGATTCACGTCCCGAACAACGAGTATGTTCTCTGGATACTCGACGCCACAGCCACTGGTGAAGCCGTTGTTCAATTTGAAGGCCTGCTGGAATTCTTCCTGTGTGAGACCTTCTGTTGCGCCCATCTGCCCGGAGAACATTGTAGAGAATTTTCGGTCAAAGTCAATGAGTTGTTGGGCTGTTTCATGTCGTTCTGTTTGATATGTGTTTAGCAATGGTGTTGGGTTATCGGGGGTTGATGATGGTGCAAGTCCGTTGATTTGATAGATGAGTTTCCAGGCAAGATTGTATGAATCCATCATCGAGACATTCATTCCTTGGCCAGCCTATAAAGTTGATTAGCGAGATCGGGTTGGGTGGCTTCATTGGGTTTGATAGATACCTTAGGGCTGTGAGTGTGACAAGCTGTGATGTAAAGTCAATTTGAATTCTTCATAGAGTTATTACGACGAATCAAACGTACCGTCACCAACAATAAACACACGTGCGGCATTTTTCGAATCTTTGACAATAAACTCAGGCAAGACTCGCTGGCCAATCTGATAAGCAGCCCACCAATCGATGACCCCATCCTTGGGCCGGATATAATAAGGCTGCATGGCATCCGCAGCTTGCTTCAGAATACCCTCCAAAGTGATTTTGCTTCTTCGCTGCCGTGCATCGTCTGCCTTGGAGCCAGTTTCCCCGGCTGGCAGCTGATCATCCTCTGGAGACACTATATCTGGGACATGGACATATAGCCGAGTAAGATATTCACCCGTAGAAATCCTCTCTCGCGGAATGACCATCACCGAGCCCGCAGGAGAATGGATACCACACCGGCGGCGAATGTCGGGGAAGTCGGTGTCAGCAACTAGATCGACAACGCCCCATATATGGTCAAGAGACTCTCCTTCCAGCTTTAACCCCAATGATTGACGAACAACCGAGTGAGCACCATCTGCACCCACTAGATATTTAGTCCGCACAGCTCTCTCAGTGCCATTTGTATTCATGGTTACAACAACTGGGAAGTCGGAATCACCATTCTCATCAATCTTCACATCGACCAGCCGCGTGTTACGGAGAACACCTCTCTTCGAATATCGCAGGAGATCCGTTTCCATGATTCTTTCGATGCGCCCCTGATGAATGGTGGCTTCGTATTTGAAGCGTGCAGGAGGAATTACCTCCGGCATGACAGCCGTGCGCTCAATGATTTTTTTCTTGTCGGGAGATGGATTCCAAAATGCGAACTGCCACATATGACAAGCCTCATTTTCGATCTCATCGGAGATACCCAACGTTTTGAAGACTTCGAGCGTCCTGGGTTGGATACCATCTGCTTGGCCCGATTTCAATGTACTTGGCTTTGCGTCGATACAGAGAAGAGACTCATCGCTGAGGCCATAGCGGGCGAGAAGTAGGTCGAGCATTAAACCTGCGGGTCCTGCCTAATAAAAGGGAATACTTCGTTTAACACTGTTTGACTGGCCTGGGACGGAGCTACATACTCCAACAATAATCACTTCATATTTTTCTCCATTATTTTCCTTGGAAGAAAAAGGGAGAGAAAGCCTCGGTATCGGCGGAGCAAAAGAGGGTAAGATCCTAAGGTCTCGAGCTGAAGAGGAATATTCTGTAAAGACAGGCATCGTATTCAGAGGGTAGGGTGTAGCTAGGCGGCGAACTGGAAACTGTCAATCATTTTCAGTAGAAAGTTATGCGGATCTTATTTATACCGTTTCATCTACTGATTTCTAATTCCGCTTCTGCTGTTCCGATAGACCGACTCTGTACCGGAGATGGTCATCCCCCCACAAGCCTCTCACTGCGGGGGGGAGGATGCTTCGTTTGCGGGGAGCTAATCAGGTGATCAGTTTATGCAGGTAGCGAAACATGTCTTCACTAGAAAGTCTCTAGAGGATATCGCCGCATTATTTGTAATGTAGAATCTTGCCAGGGTTACTATGAAGGACGCGACGAGAAGGGTAATACTAGGACAATTCCAAGGCCTCAAAGCTTCTACCATAGTGATACTAGTAGGTTTCGAAACTAATGCCGATGTAAACTCTATCAATTCTTGAGTGAAATATTACGAGTATGATAATTTAAGATGAATGCAATGCCAAATAGAAAATACAGTACCGCTGTTAATAGTTTTCTTCCAAGGTTGGAATTGACGAGTCCCACATGGGGTGGGGGTGTCACCCCGCAACTTCTTCTATAAACTTGCGGGGTGACTAGTAGCTTCCTGGAAGTTATGTCCACAGTAAAGTTTCAAAAGGCCAGTCAGTTAAATAAGACTGGATTTGGCGAAAGAAATGACGAAGTATTCTTCAAGACCATATCACAGCAAAAATTATTATGTTCAAGACCTCCGACTCCCAATTCGGCGATTTGCTCGGTGATGAGGGTAAATTGGACCCATACTTTCAAAATCCGCCGGGTTAGTACAAGAGGACGTGCCCTTCCAGACTTCGAGTGCTGTAAGTAATCCCCGTTCGACTCGGGGGCCCGGCTTTTCTTTTGCTTTTCTTTTGTCCTTCCCTGGATCCTTCTTTATTACCAGGTATTACTATCTTTTATCCAAATGATTACCTTGAATTTTCCCCACGAATCAGTATAAAAATTTAAGTGGATTTTTGTTGATTTCCGTTTTAGGAACCGACTGCGACATATTTATCTACGCTGGGGCTTATAAATGGAGATGCCCATGAGGCGTGGGTTAGACAAATCCGCATTAGAGTCTTGGTCGGTCCTTAGGGTAAACTCGCCAAATTTCAGCTTAAAGTAGTCATTAATAGTATTGTACGTAATGAAACTCCTGATTTCTACATATATAGCCCGAGTGAGATGATCTTTACTCGTAAAGAAGCTCAAAATACCATATCATCCCAAACTTGTTCTCCCCTTCTCTTCTAATGCCGCAGAAATCACACCGGCAAAAGCCCGGGAGATCCCCCAACGCCCACCCCGCTGAAGCAAATCAATTAACCTGTACAAATGATCGAAGTCTGCAATGATAGATCCCTCTGAAGTATGCGTATATTCAGGAAAGCAATGTGCCTGAGAAGCATTCTCACCTAAGAGCTCAATCTCCGGCGAGGCGAATGCCTGGGCACAAATAATGTGTTTTGGTGCGTGGTTGGCAACACACAGATAGGTTAGCGCCGCGGAAAATAATGCTCGCGGAACATGAATCGCTGGCTCGGAGGAGATACTCATACGCTCGAGATAGTGCGTAATCAGGGACGCGTGAATCAGACAACGACTTGCATTCAGGGAGCTGGCCCATTCTCGTACTGGCGTTGATGCTTCGAAGGCTGGATGATGTCCATCTCGGCCGATTGATTGCTCTAGAAGATCTAGATCGGCATAAAGGGATATGAAGATCGAATGCCAGAGGACTGGAAGGCAAAAGAGATCTTGAGTCTCTGTGTAGTAGGTCTTCCACCATTTGATCAGCAGGTCTGAAATTTCTTGACAAACTAGATGATCAAACTCGTCGGATTGTTTGGCATCGACGAGGCGGGCATTGATACTCTCGAGAAGACCGTATGCTGTAAAGCGAGAATGTCGGCCAGTAATGGGAAAGGAGTCCAGGGAGCGCTGTGACCGGGGGTATACGGGGTCACTAGGTTGGGACTGTAGTGATTGACGATAGAGAGTTGCCCATTCCGAAGCCGTAGGAGCTGAAAATAAAGCATCTGATGCCAGTTGAGGAAATTGACGAAATCGGTGATTGCGAATTGGTTGATGGTGTAACAAAGTTGCGAGCTCAGCGTCATGAATGTGCAGTGCTACTTGCACTTGAGCTCGTTGCTCACATTCAATCCATCGATGCCAGCTGCTATCCATATCGTTCTCATCGAGAAAATCACCAGTGCAATGGCGAAGATCTCCCAGTCTATTTGCTTCACGTGCCCACGCAACTACCGTTCCGTGAAGCACATCTGCTAAAACAAGATACTTAGGCTCTCCTGCTAAAATGGCATAGGTCTGGCCTAAAATCGCGGCTTGGACCATGGAGAATGCATCTGGGTGACTTCGCGATATGAAAGATTCCCAAGAAGCCAATATTGCCTTATTGAGCCGTTCAAATATTCTAGCCCCCTGAGCCAAGGCACGAGATGACCCAACGAACAAGCTGCCAATGGAGCATATAGACAAGAACAATAGTGCGTTTTCAGCGGTTGGCCTAAACGAAGGAGTATGAATAACTGGCAGTAGAGGATGGAAACGATGAAAATAGAGTTTAGCAAAGAGATTAAGCTGCTCTGACGTTGGCAACGCCTCATCTTGTATTCGTGGACGGAGTTTTTGGGAAAGGCCGGCTCGATACGACTCATTTGTATTTGTATGGCTTGTCAACGTTGGGCCTGATGCAGGAAAGTCTCGACTTGAATGATGCTCTCTTGGGGGAGACATGCGGGTGAACCATTTCCGTCGCACTGTTTCGTCGTTGGGAATCGCCGAGTCCACATCAGGAGCAGAACTTTGCAAGGGTGTATATATGCCTTGTTCCCTAACTGCCAGTTCATTCGTAGGAAATACGTTCGGGATCTGTGCCCATTCTGAAATTGTAGATGTAAGTGAGAAATCTAAAGCCCCAACATCGAAGTCCTCTTCAAGGAACCAAGTTCCAAATTCCGATACGGTACGTGTATCGCTGGCCGCAACATCGTTGGTAGGAAATGGCATACAATGTGCAAGTTCGACCGTGCCAGTTTGAGTCAAAATGGGAGTTTCAGAGTTGACAGCTGAAGAAGCAATACTGGGTTGGGGCTCGGGCGGGATTCCAGATAGACGCCTTGATGAGTCTATCCCAGAATCAGGCGTCAGAATCGTAGGAGCGCTCATAAATCCCGGGGATGAGCCATCAAGGGACTGGTCATTTTGATCACTGTGGCTCCGCTCATGTCGTCGGAGTACGTCACTGTCTTTCAATTAGAATCAGATCTAGATGGATGTTTTAGTCAAGCCTACTTACCTGCGAGAATATAATTTGCCACATACGGAGCAAGCGAAAGGCTTCTCTTTCGTATGACCTCTAATGTGCCTTGTGAGATGTTCCTTTTTAGAAAATATCTTGTTACAGGTGTAACATTTTCGATCCTCCCGTGCACGAACTCGATTCATTCTGGGGTAAGTTTGATCTGGAGAGTGCTGTGGCCGGCGGGGTGTCTCGGATGTTGTCGTGGAGCCTCAAGAGCAAGGAACAAGAGGTCTGTAAGCGCGAGGCCCATAAGTTCAAAGTTGAGGAGTCTTCGAGTTCATAGAAAACTGGATAGATTGTAGAAGCTACACGTCCAAGAAATTTGCACTTTCCATTGGAATGAAGTGATTGCGAAAGAAAGAATATGGGGTCCCCCACATCCCCCACATCCGCGCCGCTTCGTTAGTCAGACTAGCACAAAAGCAGCACAAAGTGGCCTAGGCAGAGTTAGAAGAAAATGAGCTATCTAAGTGACTCTATGGAGTGAATTCAGCCTGGAGTGATCAGTACGCTACCTATTGGTATAGGAAATGGATTTAGGAGTGTACAACCTACGATGATATCCTACGAAATGACTAAATCTGTAGGATTGGACTTATCATCTGCGAACGGGATAGAAAATACGGAATAATTTCTGTCATAATTCGTTGATTGAATAATTTGCTGGAAGCTAGACTCGACTGCTTAAGTGTGGCTCAGATCTTCTCCTCATAAAATTGCTCCACTCGGTCAACGAGATCGGCCTTTTTCCCAGCTGTGGCACGGCCATGAGCGGTCAGGAACTCTTTCAGAATGGGCATAGTGAGCTAATTGATTATCGTTAGTTTCTTGAATCTGCGATCCTTTTTTATCAGAAAGCAATAACCTACCTTAGCGACCGCACCCCTTTCAAAGCTCCTTTTGACATCGTCGTCGAGGTTGGTAGTCCCACCCTCGACCTTCACTCGCTTGCTTGGAGGATTCCCGGCATCATGATCCTTTGGTCCTCGCTTGACCAGGGTTGACTTCGTCGCCGCAGTTCCACCAAACATGCTTTTCGCATTCTCATCGACCAGTTCGGACCACGTCATAACATAGTCGCCGGCGCGCTTCAAAACCAACATCAGTATCTCTTAATCGATCCTTTTGAGTAAGAGCAGCTCACCTTGTCAATTTGTCGGAATTTCGGGGTGGTTTTATCATCTGGGGTTTCGGGAACATCTTCGTCCAAAGCCAGAGCCTGTAAAATACGATAATGCCATTGAAGAGCTGTAGAATTGTTATTGTTAGTATCTTTCCGCCAAAGTTTCCCGAAAACGAGGTGTCATACAAGGGTTTGGATATTTTTGAGGATCGTAGACTTTCTTTGGAAGCTCTAGTTGTCCAATGACGTTGCACATGGCGTCCACCAAGTCATCCGGGGGAGCATGGCGGGCATATTCTGGATTCTGTCGCACGTCATCGGCAAACGGCAGAGGTATCACCCACATGCCCGGTGGTACTTTTTGGACACCATTTTCATCGACTCTTTCCTCGCCAGCAACCATAGCAGCCAAGCATGGGGTAGCATTCTTGCGAGGGATAAACCAGACAAGAGCCAGCTTTTGATCTTTGAGAAGCTTTTGCTGGAGTGCTGAGAAAACGCGAGCCGAGCCGATGTAGTCTTCCTCCGAAGGATAAATAAAAGTAGGGTGCTTGACATTGGCCCAGATAGGCAGAGCGGAGAGGGGCTTGAAACCGATGATTCGGATGATGGGATCACCAAAGTTCCTGAGCGCTTGTTGCTCTTCAGTCGTGAATGTGACTTGTTCGCCTCCGAACTTGTATGCCTTACGGATCTCCGACTTCTCCACGACGTGTCCAGTATCATCTGCGCTTTGAGTCGTGATACCTTTAGCGATTTGTGGGGTCTCTCCGCCGAGCCAAACATAGCAACTGCGTGCCGGCTCTTGTTTCTTGAGCAGAAGATAACCGTTGACAGAGATTCTGAAATCGGGGCCAAGCTCCAATGGCACGTTCGTAAAGAGCGACCGTCGAGGTACAGATCGTGAGTTGATACTTGACAAGAGGGAATTAAGCAATGAAATGCCATCCCCTTTTGCCGTCGCGGTGTTCGTATCTGGCTTCAGATAGGCAGGCGCTTCGCCGTCACTAGGTGCTGTTTTGTAGATGATATCCTATGAGAAAGTTGGTACTTAATATCGCTATAGTCACTAGTGTAGTAACCCCAAGCCAATACTTACGTCGTAGAATCTAGAGGTGTTGAAGTCGTGATCCGGTCGTGAAATAGGAAACAGATCTATTTCTACGCCAAGGTCATAGAGATCTTTCGCTCGAACAAACGAAGCTGAGCGTAGGGACTTGCTTTCAGCGTGGGGGTTATCTTCGTCTGTGACGATGAACAGTCGTCGTGAGAGGAAGTTTGGAGCCTTGGAGGTGAAGATTTGGTTTGCGCAGAACAGCACATTGGCCATGGACACTCGCTCTTCAGATGGCTTGAGTACCTTACAGGCCTCCTCCTCATCCTCTGCAAGCGCTCGAAGTGCCTTCACCTCGTCGGCGGATGGAATATCGAGATCAGTAAATAGGTAGCAATGTGGGTAGGATAAGTCGTCACGGCTCTTTCCATCCTCGTCGTAGAACTTGGAGGATTCGGTACCGTAGAGCAAGACGCCGATCATGTCATGAGGGTTCGAAATGATGCGTTGTTGCATCAAATGGTATGCGCATCTGAGAGCAGCGGAGGCGGGCGATACTTCGGTGGGTTTCTTAGCATCATTGGACGGGCGGGGAGTCAACATTGAGCTGCTAATATCGATTGCAAATAGGACGGCATCTTTGACTGATCGATAGCTCTATTGTCAAAATGAGAGAGTCAATTGAAAGCTTTCGCATGTATACCGCGCAATCGGAATCGCCGAAATGCGTTCATTGTTAGACTCACGGTCTCATCAACTTCCTCCTCATCAAAATCCTCATCGTCCCGTACGTAATTGTCGTCTGCCATGGTGTCGCAGTGTATGCTGAAGTGGTTGAAGAAGAATGACAAGTTGAGGAGCAACTTGAACTTTCATGGCAGGTCAAGGCCACCAAACAGAGGAATACTAGGACCAGGCAGCTGCGCGATAAGGCAGCCGCGGGCAAATCAACGCGCTTCAACCGCGGGGGAAACGCGAAGGTCATGTGACACACCGCCTTTGAATCTGCTGACACCAACTGTACGCTGATTGGCCGTCGGGAAATGGACTCGCCGGACCGCGGAAGCTGGAAAGCTGCGCTGAGATGTTGGGCCAACCTGGCAATCAAATCGCTTTTGGATCGCTCCCATCTGTCGACTTCTCACGCCCATTCCATTGTCTTACATACCCGATCATTCTTGTTTGACTATATCCAGATCAATCCATTCCATTTAATCCCATCCCATCCTCGGCACGCCTTCCTCCGCGATGGCCTTTCGCAGTCCCTTCGCGATCTCTCGGCGGTTGTTGAGCGGCGCCACCCCCGGTGCTCGGCCACTGGCATGGAGCTGCGCCGCTTATAACAAAACTCAGCGATCTAACCTTGCGACCGTGGTACCGCCTGTTACTCAAGATGCAACAGGTTCAAAGGGCCCGACCGCAATGGTCTTTATGAACATGGGCGGCCCGTCGACCACGGACGAGGTGGAAGACTTCCTGAGTCGTCTTTTTGTATGTCATTTGGAATTGATTACTGCTTCTCAATAGCTTGCCAAATTCTTATGATTGCATTGGCTAATCCTTCTCTTTCTTTCCTCGTCACAGGCCGATGGTGATTTGATTCCTCTTGGGCGGTTCCAATCATATATCGCTCCAATAATCGCTCGTCGACGAACCCCAAAAATCCAGAAGCAGTACGCGGATATCGGTGGAGGGTCTCCTATTCGAAAGTGGTCTGAATACCAATGCACTGAAATGTGTAAAATCTTGGATAAGATTTCCCCGGAGACCGCGCCGCATAAGCCTTACGTCGCATTCCGGTACGCCGCACCTCTAACTGAGACCATGTACAACCAACTACTCGCTGATGGGTTCGGCAATGGCAAGGGGGGTCGTGCCGTTGCTTTCACACAATATCCGCAATATTCTTGTTCGACAACGGGTAGCTCTCTGAATGAACTTTGGAAGTGGCGCAACCGTCTGGAGGGAAAGCGGGCGAATGGCGAGGTTGACCCGGCTGGTGCAATTCAGTGGAGTGTCATCGACCGCTGGCCGACGCACCCCGGCCTTGTTGAGGCCTTCGCCCAGAATATCGAGGCTCAGTTGAAGACCTACCCCGAGGAGAAGCGGGACCAGGTTGTATTGTTATTCTCTGCTCACAGTCTGCCTATGGATGTTGTCAACCGAGGTAAGTTGTTCCATCTCTCTGGAGTCAGGGAAATTCCGATGCTGACGGCTTTTTTCAAGGCGACCCCTACCCTGCCGAAGTAGCTGCTACAGTCCACGCTGTTATGCAACGCCTGAAGTTCAGCAACCCGTACCGCCTGTGCTGGCAATCCCAGGTCGGTCCCAAGGCTTGGCTAGGTGCTCAGACCCAGGACACTGTGATGGAGTATGTGAAGCGCGGCCAAACAGATCTTATCCTTGTGCCAGTTGCTTTCACTAGCGACCATATTGAGACATTGTACGAGCTGGACTTGGAAGTCATGGAGGAGGCTAACAGCCCGGGTGTCAAGCGGGCGGAGAGTCTGAACGGTAACCCTATTTTCATCCAGGGTCTCGCGGATCTTGCCCACGAGCATCTGCAGAAGGGAGAGCCCTGCTCGGCTCAGATGACTCTGCGCTGTCAAGGATGCCGCAGCGAGCGCTGCCTGGAGCAGAAAAAGTTCTTTGCTGGTGAGCAGCATGGATCCCTGGTAATGTAAAGGGGATCTATCACTGCGCAATAATTTTCGGGCGGATTCAAGTTCGAATATGTAATTCTAAAATTGGGAACGGGTTTTGGGCGTTTGGCTACATTTCGCATATTGAGCTACATAGTATTATACAGACCACTGTAACTAGTATCGACCTTGGAACTTGAAGCAATACACGATCGCACCTTTCAACAAGTGATTATGATTACGAAGAAACTAGACGTGAAAGCTTGAACCGTTGAGCTCGGAGATTTCGGCGTTAAAATGACGGAATCAAGTCTCAGTGGGACCAAAACTTGCTTGATAAGAGGAGACCTCGAGGACTGGTTGGATAGTCGCATCTCTCCTCTCCCCACCTCCCGAGGTCTACATCCTTGCCTCCTATGGACCGGTCATCCTGACCAAAACCATTGCGTGCTCCCTACTTTTAA